TTTTCATTTCTATCGTTTGAAAACCTACTATAAGTACTAATCTGTATTGGCCACATGTATTATGTTCTGAATCTTATATTCGGTAATGCCTTCGTCGACACTAGTTTTTAATACATCCATCTTGCCAACAGATGCACTTTCTTTTTATGATGATAATTTTTATCAACTGGTTGAGAAAATAGCAGGACCAGGTGAAGCAAAATTATTAGAAGTTCAAGGTATTCGAAGTGTATATTCTTTTTTCAACATCGAAAACGTATTCAACATTCTTTCTTTCTCTTGTTCTGCTATACAAGAGATGAGAAAATTAATTTGTCTTGAAGATGATGATAAAAATTACATGGTGAAGCCAGGTTGTCGTACCAACGTTCGATATTTGTATCAACTTCTTCACCAAAAACATGAAGAGCATTTGAAGGGAATTACACCAAAATCCAAAAGAAATAAACAATCACAATCACATCAAAGCAATTCTACAGTTATGAATCTTTCACAAGATCCATCGCAAGATACTTCAATATCATCTGATCATCAACAAAGTTCAACAACACTTAGTAAGCTTTTTTACAAATTTTTCGTTTAGTTCTATCGTTAAAGATTTGTAGTCAACTAAATAATCACAGTAGCAACTTTAAGAAATAAGATATTCTATATTATCTCAAAGACATTCTATATATAATGTGTTGTACTATTGAATTCTACTTTGATTATAAATCTAAAAGTTTGAAAAAGCACGATTATTAACTACGAATAGCTGTGTTTATATTTAATACAGAAATCTTCTAGTCAGGGACTACAAAATAGAGAGTTCTAGTGTCCACCATAATAGTCGTTGATGTGTTCACTTATCAGATGATTTTATACAACTACGAATAACTTGGAATATTTCCTATCGGAAAAACAACATCCTTTGCTTCGTCATATGTAAATGCAACGAAAACTAGCGAATTAGAATTGCGTTGATGAAAAAACCTACAGTATCTTAATTCATCGAATATTTTATATAATCAGAGAATGATCCTTTTAATATGGTCACACCGATAGGTATCATCACTGAATCCAAAAGAAATCTATGTATGTTACACATAAGAAATGAAATGCTACTTCGGTAACCAAAATATGAATTCTTTATCATATAATATTAAGCCCTTCTATCTTGAAAACATCGTATAGCATCATATAATGAATAAACAACAGCTACGTTTATCACTTTTTGATTCAACAGTAGAAGCAGACTTGGAATCGGGCCGGCAGATCGGTACTGGATCGGCCGGTCCTCACCGGTATTTTACCGGTCTTTTTTTCAATTTTCAAAAATTTTTAGAGCGCTAAAACTTGCCTATTTTGCTCATTTTTAACGGTTTACATGTTATCAATCGTTAAGGGATATGATTCTGAAGGTTTTCAATTCATACATTTTCACTCACTAATGAAGTTTCAGCTTTATATATTCACTAACACTTTTTCATCCTCGAAATGAGAGGTTTAGAGCATGTTTAATGAATTTCGGTATGCTCACGAAAAATTAGCGAGATATTAAAAAGTAATACCGCTCGAAATTATAGACTTTTCACCTCCAATTTTTGAGCTTTCTTGACCAATTTTCGTTAATTCTCTTTTGATCGCAATAGCTAGTAGTTTTCAGGGTATGCTTTTATACTAAAATATTAGAGATGATTGCGTCCTGTAGCAGAGAGCTTATTGACAGCTACCATCACGTAACTGCGAAAATATTTGGATATTCAGAAATCTTAAATAGCATGTCTAATATAAAAATGGTATATTTTAGCTAACGCTACCAATATGTTTGTATAATATCATCATTTTTGTAGATTGTGATGCTTTTCAGCTGTATTAAATAATTTTTTTAAATAGAAATAGATCAGACTTATCAATCTTATGGAAATTATATTATTATTGAAAAAGTGTGAGCTAAAACATAACTAGATATTGTTCAATATTAGTTGTTGCGAGTTCTTAGTCAAAAACTTTTGATAGAAACCTTCCTTTGCTCATAATATTATCAGATAACACGTGACAAATCAAAATGAGAGCTACTAGTATTAAAAATTTTAAGAATTATGAGTTGGATATCGAATATCTTCGTCAAACTGAGGTAATAAACTGTTATTCGAAAGTACTAATTGGTTAATTGATGTACGAAATGCACCGGTATTTCACCGGTAGCGCAAAACATCTAGACCGGCCGGTTTTTTACCAGTATTTTGCCAGTTAAGTGACAAATTTGGACCGGCCGGCCCAGTCCGGTCTGAAAAAATCAGATCGGTTCCAAGTCTGCTGGAGCCCAGACATCTGACGAGGATAGCGTTTTTTCTATTGTCTAATCTAGAATTGCTTACTATTCAATACGATAGATATTTTCTGACTAGTATTAGTCTGCTGACATAGTTTAAAGTGTTTAACAAGAAAATAGAAATCCCTGCAGTACAGCGGAATCCATGGAATCCAGTTGAAATCTCAGGAGTACGATGAAAATCTTGAAAATCCTCAGAATCTCAGGAGTACAACAAGAATCCCGAAAATACGAGTAAAATCCCGAGAATCCCAAAAATCCCGGGAATACGGAATCCGCCGTTTCCCCCTTGTGCGAGATAGTGCTTGTTTTGATGTATTTAAACATGATCACATATGATCGAAAAATCGAATTTTAAAATAAAAACGAATGAATAAAAATATAAAATATCACTACTTTTTATATACTTTATATCAGTACTGTCTTCTATAATATATGTAAATAAAAACATACCGTTCTGTCTCTTTTTGATTCATCATATATTCTTCTTTATCACTTCGATCTATATCATTTGTCTTTCCTTTTTCCGTTTCGCCTTATACATATTGTCGCCTTCTATATACATGATAACTGTTCACTATACTAAGACAAATAGATTTATATATGATGCGCATCTTTATGTTCTAAGAGATGTTACACAGTGTGGCTGTCATTGAGATTAGTAGAAAGCAGTAGACTTCAGTACCAGCTTAGATTCCCTATTATATTAGAATTCTATTCACACGAACATCTAGACGCACCTGGAAGGCATCGTGTTGCTAATAAAATGCAATTTTTGTCGACTATCGGCTGTAGTATATGATTGAAAATATCATGCAAAGGCAAAACTGGTTTTTGATATTACTAAGATCGTATGGAAAGATAGTAAAAGGTCACTTCCCTTCAAAATTAAGCTCAATCTAGGTAAAAACGGCAGCATCCAAATTTTGACGGTTGTGTTCGGAGTGCACTCGGTCATCAATGGCGAAACTTTTAGCTTTATAGTATGTAGTTAAAATAAACAGATAATAGAGCAGATCAGTTCTTATCAAAAGAAGTTGTTTACAGTTTTTTTCAGCGAAGAATCAAACTTATGAACTTGAACTATCACAGGCTTAATTCTTATAGGCTGTGTTCATTCTAGCGAAACAGTGATAAACTATGATACTGTAAGTATACTCTAAGTAGAAAAATAAAAAAACAGTTGATCTACAGTTTGCAATCAATATATAGGGCTCTAAGCAACTGTAACAACTAAGGTCATAGCATCTGCAAGCATTCAATTATATCTCAAGAATCTAGTTAACTACTGACTAATTGTGGCATATTTTCAACATTGAAATAAATACCATTAAATAATGAATCCTAGTTGACTGTCATCTTCGACATTTAGTCGATCACCAGCATATACATAAAGATATTTTACTTCATATGATCCATCACTCAATCAAAGATATCAGACTCCACAACTGCAACAACTGACTAATGAATTCGAATTTCTTACCCTCAAAAGTTTTTATTTCAGCTTTAATAATCCTCCATTCTTTTGATAAAAGACGTTTCCTGCATCGAAATAAATCAGATTTGTAAATTTTATAATTTAATTAATATAGTCTGATTCCGCATCATCGATTATTTTTGAGAAAATTTTTAGAAAGTCGGTGTTTTCTTAAAGTAAGTCTCTTGTAGTGAAAAACAGGACTCGGAATATTTTCGAAATCAATGGTATCAATTGGTTCCTCAGCTCAGAAAACCTTTGACTTTTCACCTGTGACAAATAGACAGACAGCCCTACTTCTTCATTTTTTATCACATCAACGCCCTGTCAGTCGATGAAATATTCTCAAGCATCTTATCTATGAGATTTCTATAGTTTCTAATAAAACATTCTATAAGTCGTAGTTTCTCGAGTACTGTCTTAAACATGGCTACATATTTCCAGGCCGAAGAGTAGGGTCGGAAACCGATAGGATCCGAAGTCTTCCGGCGAAAGCATGAGAGCAGTATTTCACCCAGGAATTTTCGGACTTTTTCCAGTGATTTCTGCCCCAGTTCCTTATATCACCTGTAAGAACTCTGTAAATAAAATTGGCGTCATAGAGAACTATTAAAGGGTTTTAGCGAAGATTCAGAACCTTTCAAGACTTCATCCGTTTACTAATAAATTATCAGAAAGTTCTAGACAGTTTTAAGAACCATGTCTAATACCAAAATGGTTCCAGAGTTTAAGGATAGTTCTAGCTAATACCATTCCTTTGAATATAGAACCATTGTGGATGAAAAATAGTTTCAAATATTCAGAAGGGTTCTATCTTGAACTATTTTTTTTAAAAATTAAGGACCATGTGTGATAGAAAACAGTTCAAAATGAATTTAAATGACTCTGTCTCACACCTTTGATCTTTTAGAGAACGCTGACTAATAAAAATGTTTTCAGAGATTTAAAAAGGGTTTTATGCTGAACCACTTCTTTCTGTGACGTGCGACAGCTAAATTAAAATGGTTTTAGCGACTAAAAATGGTTCACCACACCATCGTTTTTATTAAAGAATCATCAGTAGCTTAAAAGGGTTCTAGAGATTTATAAGAGTACTATCTTGTACTCTCATCCTCATCATAAAGAAGTGTAGTTGATAGAAAATGATTTTAATAATTTAAAAAGGTTCTATACTGCACCATTTTCTCTATGGTTTCCTTCTTACAAAAACAGTTTAACCATAGGTCGAATGTGTTGGATTCGAAATAACATGAGTCAAACCGGTTTTCTCAACACTGTCCACAGTTATGATATGTTCGCAATAACGTTCGAATTCAAGTCATCTAATTAAATCCTACATAATTTTACTGGTCTCATCTGAAAAATGCTCTAAACTTCATAACAGAAAAAGTCTCAAAGTGGATATCTCTCAAGTAGTTTATATAGAAAGTTTTCTATTAAATTATTTTCGTTTCGACCTTTTATAAGAGAGATCATCATTCATTAATCTAAAACGCATTTAACCCGAATCATCTATTTTTATCTTTCTACCTTCCATCTTGCTATCAAGTTCGCCTATTTTATTAGTAGATTTACATTTTGTATTTTGCTAGACATAGCGAAATTTGAAAGTAATACGAAAAACATCGACTATATTGGTAATAGGATTTGCCCACTAAAATCTTAAGATGCGCAGATTGTTTCAATAGAAATATCCTAGTGACTGATAGTAGTTTCTATCTGAATTTCATAAGTTACTATAGTCATGTCTTGCTACTGTTTTTAGCACGCTGATTGCCTGAGGAAATTAAAC